CTGCATAACATCAGCAAACAAGCGTTGCAGTACCTGCAGTAAGGGACCAGAATATTCCGCAGTTCTAATGATACGGCCGAGAATCAGTGCCAGATCCAGCGCCAACAGACAAAATGCTCCGTAAGTAGATAAATTCCGGGGAAGTCTTGGATTTCGGCCAGAAACAAGGGACAAGCGTTCGAGTACCCGCGCCAGAGAGGTACTTGAGTGAAACAGAGAAATATGCAGTAAAGAAGCAAATCCCATCTTCACCCAAACGTAGATATTTGAAGCGACGAGTAATGTGTTTCCCTTCAAAAGCACCCAAGACTTCGTTGGCCAAAAGATATTGGCTATGGGCACCGCCACTGAAAGTGCCGTGAAGCCCAGCACCACTGCCCAGGACCAGACGACCAACCACGTGGACTTCGCCAGAGAGTTCGGCTTCGATGCCTGGCCGTCGATGGCTTCCTTTCCCCAAGCTTTCAGTTTAGAAGACTTGCGGACGGCGCCAGCTTCCAGAACATACGGGAAACCACCCAAGATGCGAAGGGTTTTCACACACGCCATCACAATAGCACTTGGCCGAATGATCGAGGCATCGTCGGTTTCAACAGACATTCTTGATCAAATGTTAGAAAGACAAAGCCAAGAGGATGATGATCGCCGAGGAACGACGAGAAAAGTGTGATATCCGGACGGCAATCCAGCAAAAACTAATACATTTACTATCAATATTGTGTAGCACTCCAGCTGGTAAAAAATAAACACGCCAAGGCGCGTCACCAGGCAGAGCATCGACTATTTAAATAGATCATTTGTACATCACGCATTATATATGAGGTCAACCATTGTCCGGATCAGCATATTATCGATACCGTAAGTTGGAAATAATGTATCATTTGTTAACTCCACAGCAAAAGACAATTATCCCACTTATTGTAAATGGGATAATCTTGTTGCTTAGAAAGGCATAGCATTTTCTGTCTTTCTTTTGTTGAAGATATACACTTTCTTTACACGGCATGTGAAAAGGGTACTAAGTGCCATGGTTTAATTCACACACATACAAACACACACACACACATACATACATACATGACGTGTTAAAGAACGGCCAACCGTTATGTAAACACCAGAGCCAGGTTGACTATCGCGGTCAGTGTTACAGCATCTTCCCCGAGAACACAGTGTTCACTAAGTTGTTGCTGTTTTAAAAGTTAATTTCTCAGACTATTACAAAGTTGAGTTGGCGAGTTGACTTAACCAAGAAAACCATTGATGTGAACAGTGAACTTAGTGACCAGAAACTTGGCAATGAAACTCCACAGTGTATTTATTTTAATCTTCCTTAATCATTTTGTTCGCTACACCGATGGCAGGTAAGGGCATACCAGGGGATACAGGCATGTTTGTAAGTGATTATCTTATGCAAATTAAGCTATAACTGCGATATAAATATATATATGTAAATATTTAGATATATGTAGATATCTAGATATAGACTGTATATATACATGTATATAAGAATTGATTTATATGTATAGATAGATTGATTGATTGATTGATTGATTGATAGATATATATGTATGTAGATAGATAAATGGAAATGCATGCATACATACATACGTACAAACAAGTATATACTCGTACGCACATATTTATGTTTATGTCTGTCCGTGTATATATGGCGCTGTAGTGCTGAAATCTCCATTTCTCTACGAAACCACATTGACTGCTGCCTCGCCGTCACTGTAACCCACTGAAGGCAATAACACCCACCCCCTCCCCTCTCCTTTCCGCCCACAGGGTAACGGCAAGGGCGTGGCAGGTGTATCGGCCTCGAAAACCCTCTCCCTCGGCAGCTCCTTCGCCGTGTACTCCCGAGGGCCAGATCTCGACCTTCACCTTCTTGAACTTTGCACTCTCGGTCGGGCAAATGGCCGCTAACATCGCCTCGAACATCGCCAATGACAACAACAACAATAACGACAATAACAATAATAATAACAACAACTTGATCAACGCTAATGTGGCGAACAACAACAACAACAATAATAATGTGAATGACATCGGGTTCACTAAACCAGGGAGAAAAAAGAGAAGGGTAAGTCATTTGTCGGTTATCAAAATATTGGCGTAGGATTACTATTTCACACTTAATTATCAAATAGTGCACTTATTTATCTATTTGTCTCTTTCTTCTTGGTTCTCTATAGCCATTTCCTAAATAACAAATATAATCTTTATTTTAATGACATATTTTGTTTATTTCAATGACTTCAATGACATATTGTTTATTTCAATATTTCCATAATTTCATTCAATCTCAATCTTCATGGCGTATTCTTTATTTTAATGACATATTGAGAAACATGGCATTCAGCAAATGGAATCACAAAAAAAGTATATACATGCAGAAAGCAACATGCATACAAGGTATGTCAAGAAGACAAGAAATAGATTTAGAAATCAAGACAATATAATTTTGTACATCTCGTGTAACTTTTGCCTTCCTGGTTGCAGCTGTGGACCAACACTGCCTGCTGGGTCGAAAATACTAATTCGACACAAAGTTTAGAAGATGTTTCCCAAATCGACCAAGAGGTACGTTCAGTTATATAAAATGTGTATGTGAATTGTCAGAAATGTATATGCAGTAAGAAAGTAGATAAAAATAATAATAGATAATTATGAGTAAATTGGTGAATAAAAGTAGACTGTGCAGTAAGAAAGTAGATAATTATGAGTAAATAGGTGAATAGAAAGGTGGGCTTGTAGACTGGTAGATGTACGGAGGAAGATATTTAAGATTTCTTTATGGGTAGATGAAAAGATGAATATGTTCATAGAGAGATCAGTGTTAATAGCTGTTACAGATACACACACACACACACACATGCATATATACATATTGATATAGATACTTTACCCATACCATGTATATTTTTTTAATTACATGTATTTAGTCGACGTCGAAAAAAATATTCAGCAATCTCTGCATCCTTTACTTGCCCGATTGTATTAAAATGTTTATTTAAAAAGTGAATTCCTAATATTAATGCTGACGAAACCCTAATTGGCCTAGAGTATTTTTCTTAAGGTTTCGCGACATCCTTGTTAACCCATCGCGACGATAAAAAAAAACTATACCTGGATTATATTGCTTTCGTTTTGAGATTTTCCTTATAAAAAAAGCAATGCCACTCATTAGCCCAACACCTCAGTAAAACAAATCGTCACATGATACAATTAGGAGTGTCCTCTACATAAACCTAATGCTCACTCCTTTAGGTCAGATTAGGTTAAGCAGGGGCCGGGAAACACCGAATCAGCACAGCATATACGGCCCGACCCAAATGAACGTTATTTAAGTAGAAATAAATGCATATCTACCAGTGTAGACATGCCTATCTACCGTATGAATAGATAGATGAAAGTTTAGATATCCGGTAGATAGACAGATAGGCATTTATTGCTGCGTGTATGCATAAATGTATTTACGAATGTTCATTTGGGTAGAGCCTTCAAGCACCCTATTAAGAAGTCCAATTAATTTCTCGGAGCAGGTGTCTCTCGCTCTCATGATCAGTCTGCAGAGGTGGTTGAGCCTGTCACAGCAGCTGGCTTCGGTTGGCGGTAGAGAGAGCGAGTTGGAGGAGGTCGGGTGCTCCGTGTCTGGCCTTTGTGGAGAGGGGCGAGAGTTCGGTCACGTGACGAAGGCCATCTTGCGATCTGTTTGGTGAGTTTGGCTGCAGCTTTTGACTCGAATTTGACTGTCTGTCTGTCTTTCTCTCTCTGTCTGTCTGTCTGACTCAACTCTCTCTCTCTCTGTCTCTCTCTGCTCTCTCTCTCTCTCTCTCTCTCTCTCTCTCTCTCTCTCTCTCTCTCTCTCTCTCTCTCTCTCTCTCTCTCTCTCTCTCTCTCTCTCTTCTCTCTCTCTCTCTCTATTCTTCTAAACTCTCACTCTCTCACTCTCTCTCTCTCTCCTCTCTCTCTCTCTCTCTCTCTCTCTCTCTCTCTCTCTCTCTCTCTCTCTCTCTCTCTCCTCTCTCTCTCTCTCTCTCTCTCCTCTCTCTCTCTCTCTCCTCTCGCTCACTCTGCTCTCTCTCTCTCTCTCTCTCTCTCTCTCTCTCTCTCTCTCTCTCTCTCTCTCTCTCTCTCTCTCTCTCTCTCTCAAAAGCTCTCTCTCTCTCTCTCTCTCTCTCTCTCTCTCTCTCTCTCTATGAAGTAATTTTTGAAGGAAAAAAGTTTCCATGACGATGAGGCACTGATTTCTGAAGTAACTTCATGTCTTCAAACGCAACTTATGGACTGCGGACCTTACAGTTGTAACAGAAAATATGTTGAGTTAAGGAGTGGAAATCAGCACATGACCTGTAGATATTATTAGCTTTATGAATGCTAAATTTCAGCTTCTTAGGATAAGCGAAATTGTGTCTGGGGAATGCTTTAATGAGCGCCCCTCATATATATACGGTCGTATGATGTATGGTTATGAGATAAGGTACAATTTGCAAATATATATGTTTCATTTTTGCCGCGTCTCTGAAAATCGTGTCGGTTATTTATTATGTTTTTCTACTTTTATTTATATCCCTTTATCAATGTATTGACTTACTTATTCTTCTTCTGAAACTACTGTATTTTGCAAAAACAAATGATTTGATATTCAAACTTACAATAAAAATTTCTGGAATTAATCACCCAGTATTCATGCAAATATTTCATACGATGACTAAGACACTGATTTTTTTTTTTTCTTCTTTTTACAGGAAATACGGTGAAGGTATTGCTCATGGCCTAGTTCATGGACCTACTCGGAACACATAAAGGTGAATTTCAGAAAACTGTAAATTATCATCAATGGAAATTAATAAAAGTGAAGCTTATCCGACTTTCATATACCGAGAACGCTTACAATAAAGAGCCACTGGGAAGAGGTTAGGGTTGTATTTATCTCATAGTCTAGGACCCGTGCCAGTTATAAGATGAAGAACTGACAAAGATTAGGAAAAAACATGTATTTATCCATATTTATGTTTGTGTGTCTGTGTGTATACAGATGTATACACATAATTATATATACACATATATACGCACATTTATATCATATATACACACATATATATATGTATATATACTTATATACACATTTATATATATATATATATATATATATATATATATATATATATATATTATATACACACACACACACACACACAGAGCAATAAATGAATGTATGTATGTCTATGCGAGCTCACATTCACACACACACGCAGACACAATAATACTTACACACGCATATATATGTGAATGTGTGTATGTATATTATATATATATATATATATATATATATATATATATATATATATATATGTATATATGTATGTATATATATACATATATGTATATATATATATATATATATTATATATATATATATATATATATATATATAATATATATGTATAATATATATATATATATATATATATATATATATATATATATATGTATATATAAATATATATAATATAATATATATATATATATATATATATATATATATATATATATATATATATATATATATATATATATAATATATATGTGTATGTATGTATATTATATATATATATATATATATATATATATATATATATATATATATATATATATACATATATATATATATATATATATATATAATATATATATATATATATATATATATATATATATATATATATATATATATATATATATATATATATATATATATAGACATACGTGGCAGTCCTTATGTGTTTACTCGGCATGTACTTGTACAACACAATTTTCTTTCTTGTACGATGTCGACTTCTAGTTCTCGAGCCTCTGGCATCGTGTCTCCCGAGTCCAGTTGTCAACATCCAAGATGGCGGCCGCAGCAGCTCGCCCGATGCCCAAACGTCAAGAAGGATTTGAAAAGTAAGCGAAATACCGATTCTGATTTGTTGATTTGACTTACAGATTGCAGATGTTAAAGCAACGTTGTTATATTGTAAGAATTTGTGTGATTTAGGCTCAATTTTCTTTGATATTGAGACCAGCTGTTAAATTTCGTCATTAGACTCCTCTGCTTTATTTGCCAATTTGTAAGGCCGGTGTTACGCGTACGGCAGCCGTACCCGATTTCTCGGATCGCGGTTAGGTATACGTCACATATATGCATATGAGCCTTTAAACATTATTTCTGGGTAATAAGAACGAACCAAACCTAACCCAACTATAACCTAACCAAACCTAATTGAGATTGGGATCATCATGTGTCGAGACTGCCACCACCTTGTACGCGCAGAACACCAATCGGGGTCATTTCTGCCAAAAATTCAGGTACAGGTCCAGTTCCATACAGCCTTCGTTTAGACGAAAAATGATATGTGCAAACGATAGAGCGAGTGATTCTAAGAAACTTTTCTTCTATGGTATTACCTCTGCAACTTGATAAGGAATAGTTTTGGTTTCATTTTGCCATTAGTTAGAAGGAAAATTTTACCTTTAGTGGACATAATAAACAAAAATAAGAAAATTTTCTTCTATGGGTTTACCTTTGCAACTTGATAATAACAAGTACATGAAGTACGTGAGAGATAGAGAAATAAAAAATAAAAAAACAATAGTTTTAGTTCCACACAGCCTTGAATTAGAAAGAAAATTTACAGTGGATGATAATCAAGGTTATAGTAAAAAAAAAAAAAAAAAAAAATGTAAGGAATTATTACCTTGACGTAAACTGCTTTCATCAATGGCTAAAGGTGTGCAACCAAAAATAAAGTTGCTGGAATTTGTTGCTCGGAGACCAAGTTCCCTTCTTGGCAGTTCGGCTAAGGCAGTGTAAACAGATCATGTAGCTGTATGCTTACACAGAACATTTGAAACACCTAGAGCCACTGTAGCCTGTCAAGTGTTAAGAACGTTTGGATATTGCCAGTGCATAAGTTACTATTTCTTATTTTCTCAATTGCAAACTGGTCGCTTTCCTTTCCATTGCATGATTTTTTGTCCTGATTATTAGTGTAACCGGTTTATATATTTTTATCTCTTTCAGATGGATTTGCCTGTATCCTGCTTATATCAACAAAGATAAATCTAGAGCTGAAGGAAGAAGAATACCCAAGGAAAAGGTAGTAGGATTTTTTTATTTTCTTTATTTACTTTTTCTTCCTTTCTTTCTTTTTCATTGTTGTCTGCTTTAATCCTTAGCCTCGGGATGACATGGGCTTCATGTCATGGCTGACTTGGTTGTTGGTAACTTCTCTTATATTGAAAATGATCAAACAGAACAATATGAAAATTACCCTCATGAAAAAGAAACTGAATCTGAATACTTTGTTAATTAGATATCCTTTTCATTATTTTCATTGCACATATAAATCTTAATAGGTTTAGTAAGTAATTATCTTCTCCTTCCTCCCTGCCTTCCTTCTTTTTTCTTTAGTCCTTCAGATGTTCCTTTTACAAGAATCATAACTT